TCTGGGTCAACTCCTGTGTTCGCGTCATCTGCATAGAGTTGTTTATATCCCACTTCAGGGTTTGTATAAAACTCTTTCCATCTCATATTTGCATACCATGGTGGTAAGCCTAACGCAGCGTCATTTGACATGGCAGTTTGCATTTGTACATCTGTTGGCACTTGACCATAGTTTGCCATTGCAGTTTGTATTCTAACTTCATTTGGAATATTCTCTGGGTTTGGTTGTCCAGGTTGCTGTGCATTCGCTAAGTTCTGTGCGTCCATTTTAATATTAGATAAAAATATCTCTTACGAGTACATATGCTGAACATTTGCTGGCAGTGGTTCATCTTCATATTCTCTATATCTTTCTGCCACGTCAAATAAGTAAATGACACAATGGAAAAAACCTAAAACTAACAATCCGATTTCAAACCACATTTACTTACCAATAAAATTTCTTTGTTGTGACACTTTTTCCGGTTTATAGGACCTCTCTCATATTCTATCTTATCGTATCTAAAATCATAGTCATGTATGTCCTCTAACCATCTCATAACACTTTCCAAACCACTTTTATCGGATGTAAAGTAAAAGCATGGATGGTTATGTAAAACGTCTAAAGTTTCTAAAGAGTCTCTCAAAGTCCAGTCTACTTGGTATTGAAAATCATATGTGTTATAGAACGGCGGGTCTACTATAAAGAAAACATTTTCCTTGTCTTTGTATTTTTCATACAACTCTGTCCAATGACATCTCACAAACTCTATACCCTCAGTATATTTTTCTATGTTCTCTTTGAAAACCTTTGTATAGTTAAGATATAAAACGTTTGACATAAGTGTTTCAATGTCATGAACTCTTATAGAACCACTATACAATAGTCTAGAAGATATACTATCCCAGTCAATATACTCTGCTTTTTCCAAAACCTCTCTGACAGTATTTTTCTTATCTAATGGTATACTTTCCATCTTACCTATAGGTATCTTTTCTTTCAACTCACTCAATATTTTGTTTGTGTCTGGTATATGTTTGAGACGGTTCATATAGTTGTCGAAGTCATTGCATATAATCTTTGCATCTGGGAATACGGTATGGCACAGATGAGATATATAGAAACTTCCACCGAACAAATCTACAAATGTTAGACCATTCGGTAGTTTCTTAAGTTCTCTCAATAGAATATCTTTACATCTACTCTTATTTCCAAAGAAGGGTAACGGTGGTTTTGTAAAATTCATTTTATATACAATAAAAATGTTTTTTCCCTGAAAAGCTACAGAAAAGTGACAAAACATGAAAACTACTCGGTTAAGGTCTTGTCAGTTTTGTAAAATAACCATCCTATCTTGTTAAGACTTCCTGGACTGTTGTCAAAATGTCATGTTGTCACACTTTTTCAGAGAAGTTCATTTGACCTGGTTACCTGGTGACCTGGTGACCTGGTGACGATAGACCCTTACTTGTCCGGACATAGTTCTACTATTTTGAGTCCTCTACAAACAAGTCAACAGCAACGACTTTCAAAAAATTTTAGGGGCTAGAAGGCACGAAGTGCCTGGAAGCCCCCACAACCCAAAAAAACCTCATTTTATACTTCATTGCATACTAAACATCTTCAAGGGGGTAGAGGGGCGCAGCCCTGGAACCCCCAATACCTTTTTTTTTTTTTTTTTTTTTTACCTTTATTGTATTAAACTATTTGTTTAAATAATCAAAGATAGATCATTTTTATGAGTATTTATCAATTTCTATATCAAAATAAAATTGTGTCTCAATTCAAATTTTTAATTTGATTAATTGTGCTTTAATTTATGCGTTAATCATTGTTATTAAATAAATTAATTTAATTGAAACTTTTCTTCATTAATTTATCGATTGAAACATAAGTTCCTCATTATTTTAAAGATATATCACGCCAATATTTTTTGGGCTTAAATGAATATTTTCAATGAGTAATAATTTTATTTTCTGATAACATCCATTTTCTTTTGTGGAGATCTTTACCATAGATTACACTTCCACAAGATAATCAATCTAATGCAATATTTCATAAATAATTTTTTTGAAGGAAAATCTTCTGATATTGAGATGTTTCTCAATTTTTTTGAATATTTTATCGTTAAAATATTATTCAATAAAGATGAGCCAGCTGTCAGCAAATGTCGTTCATATCATTGTATCAACTCGTACCCAAAATAAACGAAAAAGAAATACCGCTCAAAGCATGCGTGATCATGAGAAAATCCAAAAACGAATCCAAACAAATGGAGTCCTACCAGATTATATCTCTGTATATTTAGAAAGATACTTCCAACAAAGATTTACCGCTTCAACCTTACTTTCAATAGCTAACAACCTCATATCAAACTTAAATTTACGAATTGATAGATTAGCAAAGCGGAACAGACAAGCATTGCTTTGCTGGTTTGCTGAAAATTGGAACACTATTCATCCGCACCTCAAATATTTCAAAAATCATGTAAACTATTTGTCTAAATCATCAGATTCTGATTCGATAAAAGATGGATTTGACGATTCTGATTTTGTAGCGATTGGGAATATTAATCCGATGGATGTTTCACAACTATTGAATGTTCACTAATTCTTTTTGACAAAATACATTTTTTTTAATACAAAATTCAAAATGTTTGCCATTTGATTAAAATTAATAGTAACTATTATCGCCTCATGGATTTTTTTAATTTTTTTCAATTTTTTTATTATAGTTTTGGGGAAAATAGAAACAATAAAAATCATTCTATTATACTGTATCAATTCGAATGCTCCAAGATTATTGATTTATTTTGAAATTATATTTTTTTTTGAAAAATATCAATATCTTTGTTATGAGGAGATTGCCAATCAATAAATGATAAAATATATCGGTTTGTTCTTTTGAAAATTATTTATTATTTTTTTTGGAACCAATAAACAAAATATTTCGATCAACTTACACTGCATTTCGAATATATTCGTTGAAATTCATCAATTAAATTTCCTATAATTTATTTGTTCAACAATTGCAAGAATTTCAATTGTTTTTTAATAGTTTCGATTGAAGTATTCATGTTCCCCTAATTTCCTAATGACATGGATAATACCTTGACTCTTAATTAGTTTGTTTTATAAATTCGGCTTCAATGATTTCGGTAAAGCGGTTTAATTTTAAAAATTGAATTCAAAGATTTTAGTTGATTCAAAATTTGAAAAAGATTTTCAAAATAAATCACTTATAGATATAGTTTCAATACTGTTATTACAATTGTTAGATTTTCACGCCAGTGAAAATATCTAAATAAAATTGTTTCTCCAATTTAATTTATTTGGCATTGAAAATAGCAAAAGAATTTTATATCATATTATAGGATATATATAAACTATCATTTTTATCTGGATTAAGGGACCACTGCAAAAATTGAGAGACTCAGAAAAATTGAGAGGCAATATGAGATTTATCGTTTTCACCTCAATTATAAATACTTATTTTGCTACTCATCAGATTGATATTTTTCAATTCTCGCCAATATACACACCTTTTGGTATGATACTTTAGCATCATGTTATTTCGAATTAAAGAAAAATCTTGAAATCGGCGAGTTTTGAGATGATTTTTATTTTTCGATTTTTTTTCTGTTTTCATAGCGTGTTTTAAAAATTCACGATTTTCCGATTTTAATAGTGGATCGATAAAAAGTTTTTATTGGACAATATTTTTATATTAATTAAAATATAATATCTGCGAATTTTTTTGCAAATTAAATTGAGAGAAAAGTCATTATTTTTAAATTTTGATGATTGCAAATACATTTGAATTTTATAACAGATAATTTTAAAATAGAATAACCTTGCAAAACTTCACATATACTAATTTTTTCAGAAAAGTCTTGTTAGAAGTATTACATGATATCTATGTCAATTTCATATGCAAGTCATTAAGTTTTTAGTTGAATTTAATTTCAAATATTTTTTATTTTTAAATTTTAGGTCTGATTGAATATGAATAGATATATGTTCAAATCATATTGATGTAAATCACTATTCATAGAATATGATTCCAAATAAAATTTATCAAAATAATCCATTTGAATACTTATCATTTTTGCATGTATCAATATTCAAACTTTGTTATTTCATGATGCAGCTCGTGTTTACTCCTATATATTCTATAATCATAACAAAATTCTCATACAAAATAAATGAATAACAGAAATTTTGAAGTTCTTAGTGAATAAAATGGTCGTATATGATGAATATAGGCAGGTGACCACTATTATTAATGATAAATTTCCAATTTTATTGATAATAATTTTAATATTTAATATGAAAAGAGAATTTGAAGAGTGATAATAAGGGAATTTGACAAGTATCTTGCAGGGATTCAAAAGACCCTAACTTAATTTTTTCGAGTTTATTGAATTTTTAGCCTTAAAACTCGATGAAGATTTTTAAAAGACGATAGGTCTTGTTTGGCCGTGCAGTGGTCCCTTAAATTTGTCATGATATATATATTGTGTATTCAAAAAAAATTTAAAATTAAAGGTTAAAAATGTCATTTAAATTCTAAGTTATTGAATAAGATAACTTAAATTGTAAACTATTGAATTGTTTCATGTGAATTTCATAGAGGAATCAATGACAAACTGAACAAATTACAGACAAATCTAATTGTGCTTAAGTAACAAGACAAAATCTTGATCGAGAAATTCCTATATCTAAAGTTTTGGATAACAAAATATAAATTGCCCATTTTTAAATGAGTGCCTAAAGATTAAATCATTGACATTGAGCAATCTAATCGATTCTTAATATTTATATTATCATGAGACAAATATTTTCATTATGTTAAAGCATTTTAAATAGAACTACATGATGTATAAGTTAACTGCATCTAAGAACAATAGGGAGCTCCTCTGATTATTCAAATTGAAAGAAAATCATAAAAAAAGGTCTATCACAGCGATATTTTCTATGAATAGAAATTTTGAAGGGTCTACCATCCCCTTTTTTTTTCAAATGAGAAACATTGCTTTTTTCATAATCTTATCAAATTCAAAGAAGATACTTTCAAATAATGGTAGCGTAGATACCAAATCAAAATCTAGGTCATCCAAAAGCTCTCCATCAAATGGTCCTTTAACAACAAATTTTAATTCAACTAAATCTCCTATTGACGCTAATCATACAAATACAAACATATCAAAACTAAATTCTACATCTATATCAGCACAATACAATCAGACATCGAAAAATCTCACTAAAGTTCAAGAACCAAAACCACAAAATAACACAAAAATACAATCAAATCAAAAGCAGAACAATATCAACCCATCTACCAATGAAAAAAAGAAGAAAACTTCAAATGAAGAAATAAAAAAAGAAGACTGTGCAGAAGTTGAGGAACCAGACTCCGATGCTTGTGTAATGCTTCGTGTACGAGAAGAAATCATAAACGAATTAAGAAAATTAAAGAATTCAGAAAAGCCATCTATTTTTTCATAACAGTGAATAACGATCTTCCAATATATTTCATTTGTTTCATTAGATTCAATTATTTCTATTGTTTTATAAAAAATTTTGAATTAAAAAAAAATATGAATTACACTCTTTCTATATAATAGCAACGCTAATTTGGAGTTATTTACTTGCTCTTCTGTGATTCCAATACCCAATAGTCAAAGGAAAGAAATAATGTGTACGTTTAAATTTTTTATTGGTATGAAATCAGCAATTCACGTTTGTGTTAGAGTGAAACCTGCTGAGAATAATCGTGAATACTGGCGTATTGGTGATGATAATAAGTCAATATCATGTGATAAAATGCCAGATGCAAAATGTTTCGACTACGTTTTTTCTCCCTCGTCTGAATCAGCCGATATTTATAATAAACTAGCAAAGCAAATAATATTAAATTCATTTAACGGCATCAATGGAACAATTTTAGCATATGGACAGACAGGATCAGGCAAAACCTTTACAATGACAGGAAATTCAGAGCATCCTGGAATAATCGTACATGCTGTTAATGACATTTTTGCCCTTATAAAAGAGAAGTCAAGCAAATATAATATTAGCGTTTATTTCTCTTTTTATGAAATTTATTGCGAAAAATATCGCGATTTACTAGTAGATGATTCAGAATCCAACTCAAGGCAATCGTTCATTACTATTAAAGCAACTAATGCAGCTGAAATACTAAAATTGTTACAAGAAGGTAACGAACGCAGATCTATCGGAGCTACAAAAATGAATAATCAGAGCAGTAGATCGCATTCTCTTGCCAAAATTTGCCTTAATATACAGCCAATAGCACCTGGTGAGCACACTTTAACATCAGAATTATTTTTAGTTGATTTAGCCGGTTCTGAATGTATTTCAGACACAGAGGCTACCGGAAATAGAAAAATAGAAGCCAAGAACATCAATATCTCTCTATTATCTCTTTCAACGGTTGTTGATGCTTTAGTTCATAATAGAGCTGTTTCATACGCTTCATCAAAGTTGACAAAAGACCTTAAAAATTCTATTGGAGGAAATTCTAAAACAGCAATTATATGCACAATAAGTGGTGATGCACAGCAGAGATATGTTTCAGAAAATACACTAAGATTTGCAAGTAATGCAATGAAAGTTAAAAATACACCAAAATCAAACAAAATTGTTTCGGATAAAGTATTAATTGATCAATTAAAGAATGAAATTATATCGTTGCAGGCAAAACTTTCGAAATATGAAAATGAAATTCCAGGAAAACATATCCAAGAAATTCAGGAATCAAGAAACCGCATTGAAGAGATCACAACTACTATCTTTGATGAAAGCAGAAAATCATATTCCCGTCTTGCCGCTCCTAGAAAGTCATACACTGCAAACATTAATTTGGATTTATTAGACTCGCAATCCGATGATGATAACAGCGTTACAAGCGAAATTGAAGCTGATAGACTATGCCAAGAATTATCCAATAAAGTCCTAAAGGAGAGTAAAACAGAAATAATTAATATGGATAAAATTGAAATTGAAAGCTTAAAAGAGAAAAATGAGAAATTGGCTAAGGAAATGGAAGAAAAGGTCAATTCTCTGAATGTTGATATTGATAATGCAATGAAAGAATTGCAAGAAATTCGAACCCAATATTCATTGTTAAATGAATCAAGTTTACTTAGGGAGAAGGAAAATAATGAAAAAATTAAGATTTTAGAAGAAAATATTCAAATGTTGACTCTAAAAAATGCCGAATTACAAAAATTAAATGCTGAATATACAAAAGAGAAAGAAGAAATCATGAAAATGAAAACAGAAAGCCAGGAAGAAAAGCAACAAGCTGATTGGGAAGTCTCTTATTATATTAAAGCACTTACAGATTTGCAAATGGAAAATGATAATCTTCAAAAGCAGTTAATTAAACCAGCCTATGCAGAAAAGGAAATACAGGCAACTCGCTTAAAGAGGGATCTGAAAAAAGAGAATAATCCCCTTATTCAGAACATCAATGAGAATAAACTTGCAAATAAATTGCTTGATATTCTTGAAACAGAATCAGAAACAAAGATAGAAGAATACAATGAATATGACCATGTAGACAATATTATTATTCCGGAAATAAATAAGGAATATTATTCAAGGAAAAACTACTACATCCCAAGAGAGAATTATTATGTGAAAATGTTCTTTCACACTTTAACCCTTATATTAACATTTGTTTTATGTGTTTGTGTTATAGTTTTATAAAAATTACATTTCTTCGTAATCATGATATGCTTTTTGCTCAACTCAATGCTATATTGTTTTGAATATGTCGTATTTCAGTCTGTTTTAAATTTTTTGACTCAAATTAAAGAGAATTAAATATTTTTTAGTAATATATAAAATTTTATTTGATTAAGTGTTTTCTATCCATGCATTGGCACTTGCATCCGAGATCTCCAGCACCACAGTCGCAAAATCCAGATGAAGTCTGATCTGGAACAACACTATGTCCTGCATGGCATTTGTTTTTGCAGGCTGTGCAGATAATTTGATTGTTATGGCAACAATCTATGCATTTCCAGAATTCTTCACGTATATATGTTCTTCCTGATTTGATAAATGAACAATCATTTTCTTTATCATACTTAACGCCGTTTTTAATGATATCTTGCAATTCTGTATTTTCGATTTGGAGATCTTGAGCAATTTTTGCGAGGGCTAATGCAACTTCAGCTATCCTCTGTTGTGAGTTCATCTCAATGTAGTATTTAATCAGCATTTCCATCGTTGAAATTTCCAAATCTGATATAGGCACGTCATTTAAGTAATGCACAGGTAGGTGATGGCTTATTATTGTGTTGACGTAAACATTCCAGTCATCAAACTCCGGATTTTGATTATAGATATCAATAATAAAAGAAGTAGGAATGGATAAAAGCCATTTTTCCGGAATTTTATTGATATTTTTGGCAATAGATTGCAATAAACTCTTGTAATCATAGAAAATAAGAGGTAATTCGAGATTTTGAGTGGGAATTAATGCGGAGTTAAACTTAATTGCTTCTATAACTTCTGGCATTTCTAGTTCTTTTGCAATTGGTAAATAGTAATCCACTTTTTCTAAGGGGATGTCTAAATTTGTTGAAGAAATTTGGGTAAAAAAGCTTGTTATTATTTCATCATCTGCTGAATATTGTAGCTTATAAGATGAGCATGTTAAATCTGTTGATATTATTCGATATATTAATTTTGAAAGCAAGATTGCTTCAAACTTTTTTAATTTAAATGCATTGGTTTGATTAAAGATAATTTCAAACTCCTCTTCTGTGTCTTTGATTAACGATACGCATCTCATGATTTTGCTAGGCGAGAATTGGATCTCTTTCATTGCGAAATCAAATAAAAAAATGAAACTAAAATTGATAACATTCAAAATTTGAAAGAAAATTTGATTAAAAGTTGATCAAAGTATTATTTGCCATCATTTTTATTCCTGATCATAGAAGGGAGTTCAATATTTTGCATAAGAGTATATGATGTTAGAAGATCATAGCAAATTGTTGGATAAATAATTTTGTTTTGTTATGGTAATAAGTTTGATTACCATTTTCGTTGTATGTCGCCTATAACGGCTATATTGGTTTTGAATTCACGCTATGTTTCTATATTTTGCACATAAAGATTGTTATAAATTGTGAGAGGCTCTTCTTTTTGGAAAGAATGTGCAACAAGATCTCAACTGAAGAGATGTAAAGTTCATGGTTAATAATATGACAATCTATACAGCGATTTTTTTTTTCAAACAAAAAAATGGCAGATAATGAGATATCGGCGCTGCAAGAAAAGCTAGCCAAAATATGTGAAGAAACAGATGATCTTAATAGTCGATATCTCGCCCTTGAGCAAATGAATGAAGAAGTAAAAAATATTAATATTGAAATCGAAGATTTGAACAAAAAGCGAGAAGATTCACAAAATATCTTTCGAAATCAACTAGATGATTTAAATAATGAAATCGAATCTGCAAAAAATGAATTAAATTCTCTAATTACTTCACAAAATGATCGCACTAATGAGTTAGAGAAGCAAATTCAAGAAATTTCCAATCTCAATACCCAAAAAGAACGTAAATTGAGTCAAATTACTCAAAACAAATCAAATGCGTCACAAAATCAGTCAAATGTTCTCAAATATAAAGCATTGCAGGCAGAGCCATCCAAATTCAATGAAATTTTAACTTTTGAAGAGAGGAATGGGGATATTTCTTTATACTTTCAACAGATTGAAACACAAATTTCAGAATTACTCAAGAAGAAAGCATCTTTATCAGATTCTATTCCATCTAAAGAAAAGAGGATCCGTACTAATACTAAATTTTCGAATCATCTAACAGAAAAATGCGAAAAACTGGAAAATCAATATCAACTCTCTATTTCCAAGCTAGCAGAAACAAAGCAGAACATTGAATCTTTAAACATCCTTATTGCAGATCAGCAGAAACAAGTTGAATCTGCCAAACTCCAAAAAACAAATTTACAAACAAAATATTCCGAAACAAAATCTCTTTTCAAATCCGAATACAGTTCAACTCTTTCCAGTATAGACTCGAAAACCTCAGATATCTGCCTCCTGAAAGAAAGATTCGAAAAGATCGAATCAGATCTCAACTCACGCGAATCAGAGCTTCGTGACGAGCTCTCCAGGGTCGAAGCTGAGAACGACGAGCTGTCCAGAGAGATCGGCAGTCTCGAGCAGGGCGACAAAGCCGAGGATGTCGCAGAGGACATGCAGAGCTCGATAGAGAAAATCAAAAGCAACATGGAGCCCCTGACAGTGCGCATCGAGAAGTACAGGAAGGACATCGACTCGATACAGACTGACCTCAGGACCCTTGACGAAGCAATAGACTTCCAGATCCTGAAGAAGAAGCCGTCAAAGAAGTTTTTGTCGAAACCGAAATTCGCGATGAAGAAAATTCTTCTGGAGGAACTTATTGTCCAGAACTTCAAGATCAGCTGCGAAATAGCTATATACATGGACAAGCTCGGACAGGCTGAACAGTACATCAAAAATCACCCGGAACTGTTCAAAAAAGATGAAAATGATGGTGAAAGAGTTTCAGATGAAGTTAAGAAGGAAAAATTGTAGAGGTTACTCGATTTTGTTGGTTTTTGTTTTGATTTTGTTGATAAAGCGTTAATTTTTAGAAATTTTCACTGTTCATTTGAAAATAAATCTAGATTGATATAAAAATTAGATTATAAGGATTTATAATCCAATTTTGGATTCAAGTTGTCGATGTTCATATCGCCATAACTCAATTATTTTTGTTGCTAATATACATTTCAAATGATGCAAATTCAGTTTATAAGAATGAAATTAGCTAATATTTCATGATAGAATTTGTCAATAACGCATCTCCATGTATATTCAATCTGCCCAATTATTTTACAACTATAAAAACCATTATATTATAATCGATTGAAAATAATGCAGCACAAAAGTATCTTCAGATAACTGAATAAAGTTCAATAGGTAGTCATAGATTAATTGTTAAAACTATTGATTTAACAAGCAATAAAAAGGCTCAGTTTCATCTTCTTTCACCTTTAACTGCAATATTAAAATATTGGTTATACTATAATTATAATAAGATATATGCGTTTCGTTAACTAGTAAAATCCAAATTGTATAAAAGAGCTCCATTCCTCGATAACTACAACTATTGATTCTTTATATAAATGAAATTACTAGAGATATCTCGAATTCACTACAGATTTAAGAAGGATTTGTCCGTACATGCTTACCATAATGACAGTAATTTACGAAAAAAAGCTGAAGAAATTGTCGTTAACATAGAATACTCGAATTAAGGAATAAGGATAACAAAGTGGTGAGTATGCCATTAAATTTAATTTCCAATCATATTTCCTTTCTTCCTTTATAAAGGAAATCACATTATGAATTACAAGTGACATTTCATAGAATTCAATTCAGAAAGTTCGAATTTCTCCTTCCTTTTGTTTATGAATTATACATAAATATAAAGACTTCATCAAATATCGTTTGCTTATGAGTTGATTATTTTTCCATCTCAATTTTAGATATGAGTTTTGCTTTTTTCTTTTCAAAATTCAGTTAATGCTGGAAAAGAATACCATTAAACTGTTGGCAGAAGATATACATAGAAAATCAGCTAAAATAGCCATCAATAAAATAAGAAAACATATTTTTAATTTTTATAGATTGAGTGTCAAATGAAAATTGAGTACTTGATTTCAAAATTTTTTGGATTATAAAGATGTGCTGAATTCGCGATACTATTCGATTTTTTAATCATCGATTTTGAAGAAAATTCAAAAAAAATTGAATTCAATAATCCGTCTAGATCGTAATCAAATAAAAAATCCCATCACAATTAATATTTGTGATATCAAAATAAAAAAAATGTCAGAACGATAAGGTGATCAGATAAAAATGATTTTGGAACTTGATAAATTTAAATGCATCTATAAATTAGATTAATACTTTGAAAGGGTGTAAAGTAATCGTGAAAAGTGACAGATGAGCGGAAAATTTCGACCCAAAGTGATTGAAATTTTACTTGCGCATTTATTTTGGCCATTAGCACTATCAGCGTTGTGTGTTTATATTGTTTACAGGCCAACAATGCTTATTGTTCCAAAATTAGTCAAAGAAAAACCCATAATAATAAATCGAACAATTCAACCTACAGTTATTGGTCATTTAACTGATCTCCATTTGAACCCAGAGCATCCACAACGTGCAGTGTTCGCCCGAAAGCAAATAGAAGAGTTTTCAAATATAATTAAGCCAACCTTATTAATCATATCCGGCGATCTAGTTGATGGAACAGAAACAAAATCAGAAATATCTCAGCATCGTCAATTCCAAAGTAATTGGGATGTATATAAAGATCTCATACAAAATGCAACGTTTCCAATCATTGCTGCTGCTGGTAACCATGATGAGCATGCTCTTGAGAGACTTCATAACAAAGAGCATTTATACATACAAAACGTTGAAACAAAAAATTTTTTCATTGAAAAATCGATTTTTCATACAGAAAACGGGAAAATTCGTGTTATATTGCTCAACCCATTCTCATTTCCTACATCTCCAATGCCATACGGATTAGTTGTGCGCCCTTCCAGAAACACACTTGATTTATTAGAGAATGAGCTAGACAAGGTCGAATCAGACTACACAATTCTCACATCTCATTTCCCATCTCAGTGCATTTTCGGCCAGAAATCCTCAACAAACAAAAAATTTGAGGATATAATAAAATTAAGTAATTCAAAAGTGACATCTTATTTGGTCGGCCATTTTCACATGCCAAAACCATTTACTAGACACATTGGTGGTACTCTCGAGATCTTTGGATCCACGACATCCTACTTCCAAGGCTATGGACTACTCTCTTTCGACGGAGGCTCTGTTGTCTACAGTTTTGTAAATTTCTCATCAAAAGTGAAATTTATCGTCACCAATCCTCCACCAGAGAAGCAGTTCATCTCTTCAGGCGGCTTCTTAACCGAGCAGTTCAGGGTTAGAGTTGTTGTTTACGACGAAAGGAACATGTCACTCAAAGTCTTCATTGACAAGAAATTCGAAAAAGAAATGGAAATTGATTTGAAAGGTGATGGCTTCGTTGTATACGGCCTTGATGTGCATACTTCGAATGGAATGCACTCACTCAAAGTAGAAGGAGATGGAGTTAAGTATGAGACCGAGTTTTTAGTTTCGAAATCTAGAGAAAAACAAAAAGAGAAAAGTGTCAAATTTTTCATCAAATTTAATTCAATGATTTTTGTGCTATCTGTCATAGTTTTATACCTTGTTTTCACCACCTTGACACCGTTCATCCTCAAGTGTCAGTCTTTTACCACCTACATTTCCAAGTTTGGCATTTGGCTGACATCTGAAACTGAGGACAAATTCACAATGAGAGGTTTTATGAAATCTGTTTTCCTTGGTCCCTTCTTCATCTCCTTCTCCATCCTGAAGATTCCGAGGAAGTTCTGGATCTGCTACATCGTGACTTTCGTCTCCTTCTTCTGCCTTCCCATGTACTTCATGAGATACGATGACACATTCGTTATGACATTAACATGGTGCGTCATCACGAGGGCTGGATTGAACGCGTGTGTCATGTGCTTCATTGTGATTAACATAGGAATAGGGCTATACTTCGTACCTTTCCTTTTCCTAGGAAGCATCGCTTTCTCACAGCACCCAGTCAACCATTTCGTGAATGCAGAGATGCTGATTCTCAACGTGATCCCCCTAGTTTTCATCGTATTGAGCCAGATCCTGTGTGTAACTGCTGACGGACCGTTTTCCGCTCTATTCTCGCCTCTGACCCTGTTTTCTCTTACGATGTACGTGCTTCTATCTTTCGTCATTTGGAGAGAGAGATTAAAACAGATAAAATCTGAGATTATAATTCAGAACCAGAAAGATATCAAAGCTGATACTCAGCAAATTGTTTTGTAGTTTTACTATCGTTGTTTGTTGTTTGTTGTAAATATTAGTTAATGATTTGCAAAAAAAAAATATTTTTTTACAATATCTTTTTAAAACAAATTTGTTAACAAATTGAATCTTATTAGATAAAATTGATATTTAGAAGACAAACATAACAATATGAATATAAAATTGTGAATAAAAAAGAAATTATAACTTTTTTTTTCTTAAGATCCGAGTTTCCCTTTGAGGAGTGCTTTAATTTTAGGAGAAGAAGCATAATTATCTGCCGTGAATCCTATTTTGTCCCTTAAATTGACGTCAATTCCAGGTAAAGAAAGGAGGTATTCGACAATATCAGTGTGGTTGTTCTTGCATGCTATCATCAAAGCCGTACAGCCTGAAGAGAACTTCAAATTTATGTCAAATTTTGGTAAAGAAAAATATTTGACTGCTTCGAGATTTCCTTTATCGCAGAAGAAATAAAATGCAGTATTATCATACTGATCTTTTGCATTAGGATCTGCACCGAACTCGATAAGTTTCTTTGCAAATTTCAGATCCCCTTTCGCTTCAGTCTGAATTAAGATGTTTCTTCCGTGGTAGTCATGCTTCACCTCGTGGAAGTTGTTAGCGATCGCAAACTTTATTGTCTCATCATCATCTTGAAGGGCGCATGCATTGAGTAGATTATATATATTGTAGAAGTTTTTGGAGTCCTTAGGAACCATTTTCAAACTCTCAATATTGACATTATAATTTGAAGTGGATTTTGGCTTGATGACTTTGGGATTTTGGGATTTTTCGTAAATAGTTACGATTTGCTTATTAAGGGAGTTGAGGGCTTGGTATAAGCTGCTAATTTCTTGTTCCTTTTCAGTAATAATGGATTTAAGCTTTTGAATTTCTTCTCCATTAGTTGAGCGTTCAGCGTTTTGCGAAAACAGCTGTAGAAACGTTGACAAACTGCTGAAGAAGTCCGTGCCGAGCTTTTTGCTTAAAATGTTTAATAGGCGCCTGACGGAATTCAAATCTTGACCAAAAAGAATCGATGAATGTTGTAAAAACTCAAATAGTTGGTGGCAATCATACTTTCTGCCAAGGTTTGTGAAAAATGTAATAGCTTGATTGATATTTAATTCACAAAGTTCCAAAACTTGGCAAATCTCTTCTTTACTTCGATCATTAACAAATTCTTCACTGTCAATGAACTTGTTGATATCATCTACCACAGTATTCGGATCAAATTTTGAGGTCATTGTAGAAAGTGATAAAAAATTGAAAAAATAAAGTTACCACTAAGGATGTCAATTCGGAAAGTTGTTTTCATTTTAGGAGAATATAATTTTCCTTTTGGAAAATTTAAAAAGTGAGACGCGCAGGATTCGAACTTTTTTAAAAGTTGATTTAAATATATTCTAGTGTGATTTCTAAGGATAATATCATATTTAAAATAAGAATATACTAGTTTGGGTGGTATAATTTTTTCGATAAATTTGAGAATATGTACGTTTAGGGCATCAAAAGTGTCAATTCGCTCAGCGAAAGCTGAGCTAGCTTCGTTCTCGAAAGAATAGGGAAGGAGTGAAAGAGAGTGATACAGATGTTGACACATTCATATCATTTCAACAAATTTTGATCAAAATGAAATTCAATTCACTTCATATCCTTCAGTCAGTACATTGACATCCTTCTACATCACAATGATAACTCGTACATCAATAGTTCTACAACTGACTCAGAAAAAACAAGATTTTTACTTCCAGCTTACAGCTTTTGAAAAGTTTCGATGATAAAAATCACTCTACTCTTGTTTATCGATATGTTGTGATAGTAGGTAAACGTATTCTTATCGATATTAATAAAAATATTTTTACGAAAATCTGAACCAATTACAGAGTTATTCATAAAGTTTATGATAACTGTAATTACTTCATCTTTGTTTTATATTTGAATAAACAATTTAATTTAATTTGCATAATTTTTTTTAGTTGAAAAACAGGGAACTTATTTGAGTTTGTATTATTTTTATCGTTCAATTCATTGTATCAGTGAGTGATCCAGATATTTAAGATATTTAGAAAAAATTTATTAATTTGATTAACAAATTTTAATCAAAATAGCAAAAATCTATTTGATAGTTGTAAGCAAACAATAACTTTTATTTCAAGCAAAATCACTTATTTTCATCTAAACGTATAAAATTGTCAATTTTATGAGAATAAATTTAAAATCTCATGAAATATAAAGAAGAGTAATATTTTTCAATTTTCTTTTTTCTTTGTCTCAAATATTTTCTGTTGGGAATTTTCTTGTTATCAAAAAATAATTTTAATATTTGTTTATTTCATTACATACAATAAAATTTTACAAACTCTATTTCTTCTCAAGAAAATTTTTTTCCTTCATATAAAGAAACATTGTAATAAACAGAAATTCATCAAAAGTGACAGCTCTCAATTTTTTGACATTTGTAAATTCTAAATTGAATGAGAAAAATGAAATAATACTAAGCATAATACAATATTCTAGATTTAATTATAATTAGGAAAAAGTTAGTTTTGAGAGTACTTTTCATAGACATATAGAATGAAATCTTCTGAAAAATAATATCACATAAACTCATATTATTTTCTAATATATAACTATTTTATATAAAAATCAAATTCAATGATCTTAAAAGCGAAGGATAAACCTCAAAATTTACGAATATAATGAGTGGGAATATAATGCTTATCTATCATAAAACCATATGAAATATTAATTTTTGCTTTACGCCTAATTTTTGACGACAATTAGCAAAAAATGTTAAATGTTAACACTCAGTCCATTTGAATATGAAAAATAAAATTGACTTTGATTAAATGTTTTTATTTATCATGCAATTCTTCTTGCGACCAAAGAGTTGAATAAAATTTCAAAAAATAAGATAGCTTAAAAAATAATATACGGTAGTGTTTACTAATAGATGAATAGTATATAAATTCTATTAAAATGGAGTTGATCCAAAAAAATATATAAAATTTGATCATAAATAAAATCGTTTTAAATTACTTCTTCATTTAAATTATAACAATTATTTTTGGTTTTATATTTTTTTGGATCAAATCCATTTTAATAGAATTTATATACTATTCATCTATTAGTAAACACTACCGTATATTACTTTTTAAGCTATCTTATTTTTTGAAATTTTATTCAACTCTTTGGTCGCAAGAAGAATTGCATGATAAATAAAAACATTTAATCAAAGTCAATTTTATTTTTCATATTCAAATGGACTGAGTGTTAACATTTAACATTTTTTGCTAATTGTCGTCAAAAATTAGGCGTAAAGCAAAAATTAATATTTCATATGGTTTTATGATAGATAAGCATTATATTCCCACTCATTATATTCGTAAATTTTGAGGTTTATCCTTCGCTTTTAAGATCATTGAATTTGATTTTTATATAAAATAGTTATAAAAAAAAAAAAAAAAAAAGGTATTGGGGCTTCCAGGCACTTCGTGCCTTCTAGCCCTGATGTTGATGTTTAGTATAAATGAAGTTTTTATTCGGAGGACTCTTCTTCTTCCTCCATTGCTTCTGGGAAGAAGCCTTCTTCTGGGTCGAAAACATTATATAATGTGTCGCTTTTCACAAATTATATATGTTTTCATGTTTTGTCACTTTTCTGTCACTTTTCAGGGAAAAACATTTTTATTATTATATATAAATGAATTTTACAAAACCACCGTTACCGTTCTTTGGAAATAAGAGTAGATGTAAAGATATTATATTGAGAGAACTTAAGAAACTACCGAATGGTCTAACATTTGTAGATTTGTTCGGTGGAAGTTTCTATATATCCCATTTATGTCATATAATATTCCCAGACTCAAAGATTATATGCAATGACTTCGACAACTATATGGACCGTCTCAAACATATACCAGACACAAACAATATATTGAAAGAGTTAAAAGAAAAGATACCTATAGGTAAGATGGAACGTATACCATTAGATAAGAAAAATATTGTGAGAGAGGTTTTGAAAAAAGCAGAATATATAGACTGGGATAGTATATCTGCTAGACTATTATATAGTGGTGCTATAAGAGTTCATGACATTGAAACACTTATGTCAAAAGTTTTATATCTTAACTATACAAATGTTTTCAAAGAGGACATAGAAAAATATATTGAGGGTATAGAGTTTGTGAGATGTCATTGGACAGAGTTGTATGAAAAATATAAAGACAAGGAAAATGTTTTCTTTATAGTGGACCCGCCGTTCTATAACACATGGGATTTTCAATACCAAGTAGACTGGACTTTGAGAGACTCTTTAGAAACTTTAGACGTTTTACATAACCATCCATGCTTTTACTTTACATCCGATAAAAGTGGTTTGGAAACCGTTATGAGATGGTTAGAGGACATACATGACTATGAGTTTATATATGACAAGATAGAATATGAGAGAGGTCCTATAAACTGGAGAAAGTGTCATAACAAAGAAATTTTATTAGTAAGTAAATGTGGTTTGAAATAGGACTACTTGTTTTAGGTTTTTTCCATTGTGTCATTTATTTATTTGACGTGGCAGAAAAGTACAGAGAATATGAAGATGAACCAATGCCTGCAAATGTTCAGCATATGTACTCGTAAGAGATATTTTTATCTAATATTAAATGGACGCACAGAACTTAGCGAATGCACAGCAACCTGGACAACCAAACCCAGAGAATATTCCAAATGAAGTTAGAATACAAACTGCAATGGCAAACTATGGTCAAGTGCCAACAGATGTACAAATGCAAACTGCCATGTCAAATGACGCTGCGTTAGGTTTGCCACCATGGTATGCAAATATGAGATGGAAAGAGTTTTATACAAACCCTGAAGTCGGATATAAACAACTTTATGCAGATGACGCGAACACAGGAGTTGACCCAGAATATGTTTTCTACCAGAGGAGAAACAGAATGTATGAGCTCCAGTTAAAGAATGCTATGGAACTCAACAGGAAACGTAAGAGACTAGGCGGACATTAGATTTTTACATATAGTAAAATGGGTTTTTCAGTAAGATAGGAAACTTCTTTCGAAATGTTGGAAGAGGTATATGGAATGGAATAAAAACCGTAGGAAGAGGAATTTGGAACGGTGTCAAAAATATTGGTAAAAGGGTAGGTCAGTTTGTTGGTATTATACCTAAAGACCCTGAACCAGAAGAACAAGCTCCTGTTATACAACAGCCTGAACCTGCACCACAGTCTAGTTGGCAACCAAATCCAACACCTCAACCGTATTAAAAAATTATATTTTTACCGTTCGATAGTAGTTGTATATGAAACTAAGTTCTAAGTAAAACGCATGGTATAATGGAATTATTCTTTTTCTTCCATCTGTAGTAAACCATACTTGAAAGTCTGAAATACTTCCACTTGGTGGTTCGTATAACTTTGTAGGTTTTTCGTAAAAGTCATTTGCCAAGCATAAGAAAGAGTTTTGGGCGCCAGAAAATGAAGCATGAACAATAATAGCATCTTGGTCGAAAACATTTTCATATGTTCCATTAGGGTTTTCGACTTCATAAAAGTCTGGGTGTACTGGATATGCTGCAGGCTGATTTAACATCCTCATAAATCTATACCATGCCAAGTTGTTATATTTTGTAGAAATATAAACGTTTTCTCCAAGGTCTTCTATTCTATTGATTTTAACAGTTGCATTTTTCCTGTCATAAATAATATCGAGATGGTACTCTCCTTCGTCAATGTTATACTGTTTTGCATATTCGAGATAGATATCGTTTATTTTTTCTTGAAAAGCTTGAAGAGTTGTTTCTAAGTTTACAAGCAAACTAACTTGTAAAAGTTTTCCCTGTTCAAATTTCTCATACATACGTTTTTCTTTGTTATAGTATCGAACTTCAAAACCGACCGTAAATGGGAAACCATGTATGGCTTCTGAAATGAACTTCATTCTACGAAAGCCAATAGCTTTTGTGACGGATGGGTCTCTTAACCATCTCAATGGGTAGTCAAAACGATAGCCTTCATGCTTACGGTCTCTGTCTCAAACTTTTGACCGACATTAGTAAAAAGTTCATCTAATGGTTTAGTTGTAGCAACTCTAGAATTTTCTTTTTCTATTGGAAGCATATTTTATCTAGAATAAAAATGTCGAAAGATATTGCTTCCATGAGAGAAATACAACACAACCGACAACTCATTATGCAAGCTCTAAATAAGAACACAACAAACTTTTCAAACTATTCTAAGATATCTGAGTCATTGAAAGAAGGAAACTTAAAACTGACATTAACCCAATGACAGATGAGTTTCTGTTTCAAGACAATAAGAACCATACTGTCTGTATAAATCCAACAAAAGGAACTTTAAACGAGAAACCTATATCTGAACTTCTTTTGAAAGCAGATATTGACAACAAAGCTGACAAAGAATATGTCATTGAAAAAGTTCAAGAAGAACATGACAGAGCAGATGCAACATATGCAACGAAAGAACATACTCATCCTGAACTAGCAGACAAAACATATGTTGACAATAAAATGTCAAGTGAAGTGACAAGAGCTGAAAACGAATATTCTAAAAAGACTCATACACATTCTATATCTGAAATAACAGACTTACAAGAAACCTTAAACAGTAAAAGTGCCGTTGGACATACACATACCATTGCAAATATTACAAACTTACAAGAAACCTTAAACAGTAAAAGTGACGTTGGACATACACATACCATTGCAAATATTACAAACTTACAAGAAAACCTTAAACAGTAAAAGTGACGTTGGACATACACATACCATTGCAAATATTACAAACTTACAAGAAACCTTAAACAGGAAAAGTGACGTTGGACATACACATACATCTTCTGAAATAACAGACTTAAACGTTAGCCTTGAAAAGAAAGCAGATAAAACATATGTCAATGAAATATACCAAAGTTTGATAGGAACAACGAAAAATATTGAAACTATTGTTGGTGACTTTTCTGTCAATGAAGAAAACAAATATTTTAGATGGGAGTTTGTACACTCCTTAAAAAATGGTATACGGTATAAACTCATTCCGAAAAATAACAATGAAATGTATGTAGGCTATATAAAGAATGATGGTACACAAGTTAAAGTTCCATTAGACAACAACTGCTACTTAAACTTATATGGAGACGAACAAAAGAATATTTAAGAGTTTATGAAATGACAGATATGACATTACCTAACCCAGCTCCAGCACCATATTATTATGACTATGGTGTTGACGCACATGTAGACCCAAAAAAGCAAACATTATATTTAGAATATTATAGATAAAAAGATATAATGCAATAAAAAAAACGAGAATTAGATACTATTATGAAGATGACAGAAATAAATATTATAGTCAAGATTTTACCTACCCTGAAAACATAAGATTATATTATAAAAAATATTCTGACACAAACCAGAAGAAACCTGAAATAGTTGCACTATATTTTAAGTTCAAAAGAGACAATCCTATAATATCTCATATGTTTGATTTAATGAACCCAGTAGGTTCTATTTATACATCTATGGAAGCAAGAGGTCCTCAAGTAATGTTTGGTGTTGGTGCATGGGAACAAATAGTCGACAGGTTTTTGTATTGTGCAAACTCTTCAAAGGAAACAGGTGGAAGTAAAACGATTTCAGGTGAAAATTTACCTGCACATAGTCACTACATAGATTTAAGTACATCTCAAGCAGGTTGGCATAAGCATAGATATTGGGATTGGTCAGGAATGACAAAAGGTCAAGGATATGATGTTAAACGACGTTAAGTTTGCTATAAATTGTTACTGGGATGACACTCAGGGAGAAGGAAACCATACACATTTCGTTTCAGGATATACACAAACAACGGGACAAAGTAAAGACTACATGCCACCTTACATGACAGTTTACGCATGGTATAGAAATGCTTAGTCGTCATTTTCAACTTCTTTAGCATATTCGTCAGGAGTTGTCTTATATTTGTTAGGAACTGTCTTTGAAAGTATACCACCTTGAACTTTGACAAGTTTGAAACGAGGTCTGACAATAGTAGTTTTATCTTCTGCTTGCAGTGTGTACATTTTGCCATGTTTGCCTAAAACTTCATAATATTCTCTTGTATACTTTCTTCTATTTTTACGAACACGAATGTGAGTACCTGTCGAGTTCCCATTGTTGTCATAGTCAATAGTATTTTCATATGGTCGCGTTTAGGTATTTCTATTTTTACTTTGTCACCTTTCTGAAGTTTGAAGCCCGGCATTCTTTCTTGTTTGTCTCTTTTGACTAAATTATTAAATATATAGTCTTTCTCTAAGTCAGGGTTGTTTTTCATTTTCTTCGGGGGAGTGGTTTCCCAAACCTTTTTGTTTACGGCTATTGTAAATATTTAAAACTTGTCTCATCTTTGCCATGAGAAGTGTCTATATTTGTCGTCATATGACATTTCATTTGCTTCACCACCTTGTGGTTGGTTTAAGTCTCTTAACATTTTTATACAACCGTCAATGACACCAAGAGCAGAATGGTTTTGGTCGACAATGAAATATTGGTTTACATTTTTGAACGCAGATAGTTTTTTACATCATCTGATTTGAAAGAACTTTCACAGTCAGATGTCAGTTTTGTTGGATGGTATTTGTCAACGAATATATTGTCAAAGCTGCTAAGATATCTAAAATAGCTTTGGACTGTAATGGTATGGCTTCACAGTATCTTGTGTTTTGACCGACAAATATTAGCCAGTATGGAGGTCCATCTTCTCTATACCTCGGAATGTTTTCCAAGATATCCATAAACCAAGCATTTGGTGTTGAACTAAAGATTTTTATCATGAGTGCTTTTTTTTTGCCTTAGAAACATAGGGTCCTTGTTTGGATTCGTCATTTTTTAACCCATAAGAAATGGGTTTATTTGGCGCATTAGCAGGAGTTGCATCCAGATTTTTGCCCGCAGTGGGAACAATAGCCAGAGGTGTATTTGGAGTTGGAAGGAAGATTTTGAGTACATTAGGTATACTTAAAGAGAAAGCACAACCTATTTATACAAACTGTACAGAAAGGTTGGGATGTAGCACGAGATGCAGCAAATCTTATTCCAAATCCTGAAACAAGAGGAAAAGTTCAAGGATGGATGGACAATGTAGGAAGACAAGCAGGAAACTATTATAACAAGCAAATGACTACTATAACCAAGCAGGACACTATATGGACCAAGGTGAAAGATTCTTTAACAGAGGATATAACCATGCACAACAATGGGTAAACAATAACCAACCTCAACCGCCTCAAACGTGGGGAATGTAAAGTTTTTTATTGAGATGAAATGAACAATACAGCATTGAGACAAATGAGTTCAAGATGGATTTGTCGGCTTCCAGCAGTTACACCAGTGTTTGTCAAGTTCTTCCTATACCTCAGGAAGTTTTAGACCGACTTAAAAAACCTAAACAACCAGTTGAAAACAAACCAAACTAAAATTTTTTACTGAGATGAAATGACCGAAGAAGTTGAAACGGTAGATTTGACACCACAAACAAAAAGTTCAGAACCATTGTCAAAACCCGTCAAAGAACTTACAGATGAAGAGAAAAATTCAATAATAGAAAGTGCCAGGTCTGGAAATACAAACCCTAACTACAAAGTCACTTTTCATAAAAATGGAACGGCTAGTATCTCAAAAAAGAAACAGACTCTCACAAATAAAATATTGAAGTCTGAAGGAGCTTTCGAGACAACAGATGGAAAAGTTTACTTCACTGACCAACAGTTCATTATAGAACATCTCATTGACTTAGAGTCGAAATATTCTAAACTTTACAACAAACACAAAAAGTTGAAAGGAAAACAAAAACAAATGCATATGATATTTATGAAGATGTTGACGACACAACTGTTCCTGCAAGTGAAGTAAAGTCAGAGGAACCGAAAAGTGACGAAAAAACCGATAGAAGAAGAAAAACCAAAAACTGAATATAAACCAAAACCAAAGTTTAGTTTCCAAACTAAACCAAGTCAACCTTCATTAGCTGGTATGGGTTGGCGTCAAAGACTTATGGCAGCAGGTGGTTATGTAAAGTAAAGAAAAAAAATATTTTTTTATTTTTATAAAATGCCCCCATATAGAATGGATAGAAAGTCTGCTAGAATAAAAGCAGAGTTACAAAGATATGGTTGGAGAGTTTCGAAGAAGTTTAAATATAGGAAGGGAAGACCCATAAAAGTCTATGACAAATTGTCTGGTCTTCGCTACGAAATGGATTTGGAAACAGCACGTGCCAATTATCCAAAGACTAGAGAGGTTAGAAGAAGAACGTCTTATGAACATGCCTTTCGATGTGTTAAACATTGCATGAAATAAAAAAATTTATTTTTAAAAAAGTGACATTTTTATTTTATTTGAAATGTACGCTGAGTTTGTTGGAGAAGACCGTTGGGAAACTTGTTTGTTAGATGAGAAATATGAAATGGCATACCATTTTAAAACAATATATTTTTACATATATTAAATGCTTCAGGTTGAAAAACAAAGAACAAAAGTAGCAGATACAAAACCGTTAGACTATATCTTTACAAATGCTGGTAGGACTATTTCAGATGAAGAAATTTCATCCCGAGCATACAGGTTTGACTATCCAATTCGTTGGCTTCAAAGTCCTTCAGATGCAAAGGCAATAGCATTTAGAAGAGTTTTGTTTTCAAATAGAACTAACGCATTTATGTTCGCAGTATATTTTCATGGGCAGTATAAAGGTTCTGATGGTCTAATAGACAAATTTGACGAAATGAGAATCTTTACAGTTCGTTTCAGACGAAAGTCTTGAGAAAACTCTAAATGACTTTCAAACTCAAATGAACAAATA